AAAATACATCTGTTCCAAGAAAGTTTGCCACATGGATAAAAAAAAATCTTATGACAGTTTCAGTTTCTAAATCTTTTCCATTCACTCTGTTACTAGCAAATTTGAATCAGTTTCACAGCTCCTTGGAAATTATTATCTAAATTATTAACTTCAATAAAAGGAATGAAGACAATCAGACTTTAAAGAAAATTAATATCAACTTCCCCGACATTTGGAAATAACACCCAAAGATGTGTGTCCCAACATTCTATGGTTCCTACAGAACTTTTACCCTGGAAAAGGCTGATTTAAAAGAGCAGTGAACAGTTTTACTACAACCACACATGCAGTATAAAGTTGTTTGTGGTACTTTGTCTGGACTCAGTAGGGCATTACATGAAATATGAAGACCCCAGTTCTCAATTCTTCATTATCTGCTTCTTGTACAGAAGGCTACAAAGCTGCAAATCCCACTACATCATGCTCTGCACCTTTTGCAGCTACTCTGCATAAGAATAAATTGGTATTTCTTAAATTTCTGTGTGTGTGTGTTGTGCAGGGTGCAGCAGCAGAGCCTGCCTTGTCTGGCTGGTGGGCTCAGTGCTAAGCTGCTCTGCAGTCTGGGCTGTCACTACTTCATGGAGCCCCCCAAAACACCTGGCCTGGGGTAAACCACATAGTTTGGCTTCCCTAACCATTATGGGCAGAATTTGAAGGCCACCAATAACCAGACTTTCCAAGGGATGAAGCAGTGGAGCTTTTCCACATGACAGCCTGGCAATGAAACAGTGAATCCACCTAGGACATGAAGATAAACTCAGTTTGGAGCATTTTCTGGCTGTTGTGTAGCTCATATCAAGAAATGATGTGTAGCCAAAACCTGGCACCAGCTTTCTACTGGGTATGTATATTTATAAAAATTGTGAAGAAGCAAAAAAGAAAATTCTAAAAGTCTTCCAAAAGAACCTTACTCATGGTGATACGGGTACAGAGATCTGAGAAGCTCTGCAGAGAAACAAGATCACGAGAATGAGTCAAAGCAAACCTGGGGAGGAAATCCTCAAGTGAGCTGAGGAAAAGGCTGAGGCTCAGCAGCAGCAAGAGCAGTATTCAGACACTCAAAAGTCACTGCTTTTTTCTGCTTTACTGAGGAAAAATCTGGAAATCAAGCACTGGATGTCCGTGATAGAGCCAAGTGCTGTGCTCCCTGTGGGGAGGGCTGGGGGTGGGATATTTCTGACTGAAGAAGTGGACTTGACCACCTCAGCCTGGGATATGGAGAACATATTGCACACACACATATAAGAGATTTACCATATCCATTCACAGACGGTTCTTCCCCACACAGATGGTGTTTATCACCTGAATTTGCTTCAGAATTTTTTCCTGGGGAATTATTGAGTAATCAACTTATCTCTCGCATAATCCCTTCCTTATTATCTAAGGCAAAAGCTGCTGGATCTAAAAGAAGACCTGCACACAAAGGGCAAATAATGTTCATTACAACCGAACAGAAGTAATTTTTTCTTTAAATCTCAGATGCTGCACTCCACAATGGCATTTCTTTTTAATCTAACACCACACCAAAATCTGATCAGATAAAGAGAAGTGAAATTGGCCCGGTGTTGAATTTTAGAGAATTAAGAAACCACAACTCCCCTGATCAAACAGATTTCACAAGAAAGAAACCTCACTGGCTTTGCCCATCCCAGATCCCAAAATGAAAACCTGAAAATAATGAATATTCATGGTAGAAGAAGGAATAATATGGTCTTATTGAATGCACTCTGGGAACAGGTATAGAGGAAGAAAATAATAAAACAATATGAAATCTGGATTATATTTAGTTGAGGTTTTACATGCAATTAAAAATCAGATTGGGTAGCTCTGGATGAGATGTGCTAGCATATGATAATATCATAATATGCTGCATGAGATATTTTTCTGAAGAGTTTTCTCAAGCCACGAGCAATGAGGGACCAAAGGGAAGCTCAGCATAGCTTATCCAGATCAACATCTCTCTTCAAGACTGACAATGAGATTTTTAACAAAACCATTAGTCATTTGATTGAAGGCAATTTGACCAAAATTGATTCCCCCTGATCCAAAGGAATTAATTTCAAACACTGCAGGGTGTTTTCATGTAACATGAAAGGGCTCCTTTTGTGCTGCATGAGATTCAGACCCCACAGATCTGCTGCTCTGCAGCTCCCATCTGTGCATGGAAAATCCTTGACAGTTAGTTGTCCAGATATTTAATGTTTCAGAAAAATAATTTATTATAGGGCTTTGGCACCTTTTCTATAACCATGTAGCAACAATCTCATGCCACCCAAGTTATTAATTACTCTGCTTTCAGAAAAACATAAAAAAAAGGCTGCAGAAGGAAAGAAATACATATGGGGTCATATTTATCTATATATGATTCTAATTCTGATGGTGCACTGCTTTCTTATTTTCTTGATAAACTGAAGCATCCTTAAGACATTTAGTGGACTAGAGTTTCCTCTGGTTTGTGCTGTTTTGACTGCAAGGATGTGGTGGGTAACCAAGGACAGTGACAGCACCATTTGCCACAGAAACTGCCATAAAGGGAATCCAGTGTGTGTGTGGATCCTGGGACTGGTATAATTTAGGTCATGGCACAACTGAGTTTGTTCTCAGAAGCTGATGGCTGTGCTAAGATGCCCATTTCAGATCAGGCTGGCTTTTAACTTAATGGCTGGGGAATGTGTGGATTCGAGTCACTGTGGAGAGCCCTGAGAGTGAAAGTGAGGCTATTGAACCAGCTAGCTGTTGTACAGAAGGCATCTGTCCCTGCCAAATCTTAGAAAAAAAGTGAGGTTTCCATTTCACTCTGTCTGGATTCCACCTTCCAGATGTACCATGACAATTCTCAGCAGCATGGATCCCTTGGGGAAATAAGCCCTGAGTGCAGAGTTCCTGGGTTAAAGATGAGGGAGGTCTCACTCTGCTCAGCTTTCTCAGGACTGAGGTGCTCCTGGGCACTAACAGATGCACAGCTGGGGAATGTTAAAGTAAAAAGTTTGTGAAACACAGGATGAGGTGGACACCTCCAGGAATGCAGATTTGTACTCAGGCACCTTTATTTCAGTTATAAACCACATTTATTTCAGTTATAAGCCACATTATGTGCATAAGCCCTTTTTTGGAGGATCAGCCCTCCATACGTTCTTTGTTTCTGTCACCTCCTTGGGTTCTTCCACATTCTGTTTTCACAGAGGACAAAGGGCTTCAAGAGCATTTCTGATAAAACCTGATAAAGAATTAATTGCCTTTTGAGAATACTTTCAATCTTTGTCCTCATTACAGAATTTTAAATAATACAGACAAATCTCTCTTTCTCCCATCAACAAGTTACCAACATGTAGAGTTCATTGTCACTGGCTATTCTTGAGATTAAAGAAATCGAGGGAATGACCAAAAAAATCTTAAACTGTTTGTTAAAAAAGATTACTAGCACATATATGTTCTTTAACCTTTCATTTTATGATATAAGTGAACAATTAACTGCTTTTCACTAGGAAGAAATCTCCACTATTATCTCTAGAATGGAGGACACCTCTTGGCACTTCTTTGGAGGAATATATGTTTACCAGATTTAAAGCTAAGCTGGATAAGCAGAAAGGAAAGATGCATCACTGCACCACTGTTGTGGAAAAAAATAGTGGTTTGTAAGTAAAGTTGCACATTTGGGGTTTTCAGCAATTTTGCACTCAGGTATGGAAGTTATAGGATGTTACATTATAAGCAGAAGTGGTTAAGGCTACTCAGCAACAGCAGAGCAAAAATAGGATTTTCAGCTGAGAACATCTCCCTGGATTTTGCATCTCCTGTTTCCCTATCAATAATTTGCAAAGCAAAAGCGATAACCTTTGGTCGACAATGATGTTGCTGGGCTTCTAAGAGCTCACCCTCACAACCAAGGGAATCCTTTTCTTTTAAGCATTGGGCAAAAGGGGCAAGGCACTTCGGGATTTCTACAGGAGAATTAATTCAGGCTGTACAAACCCAGTCGAAGGGAACCCTTTGCAAGCTTTGAGGCCCCCGTGGCTCCATTAGCAATTCACAAACACATGAAAGTGATGCAGACAGACAGACCTGGTAGGTAGTGTGAGCTTGTACAACCCTGGGAAAAAAAATCAGACTTTGATAAAAAGAAATGTGAAGTATTTTATAGAATATGAAATCCCTTTTGAAGTTTGTTAGGATGACTGGGCCCTCATTGAATGCAAAAGACAAATTTGATGTGCACCATCAAGTCATACCTAAAACATATTTCAGAAAAGTGGCACAAAAGATGAGAAGAAGCTGAAACATCAACCTAAGAAAATATCCTTGTTTGTTATAAATTATGATTGGGAAGGACTTGGGAGCTAATTGGTTCAGCTTGCCCACAGTAACTTGTCAGTTCAGGACTCAAGATCTTGAAGGGATTGTGCTCACCTCAGGATGATTCACCTCTCTTTTTTCTCCACAGAAAATAGTCCACTGTAACCCTGCATTCTGAATTACATAAAACTAGTAACAGATCAGACAGATTTTTTTTTTCTGCTACTTGTCAGAATGAAGTGTATATCTAAGTTCAAAAGAGAAGGAATGGGAAGAAGAAGGATGTGGTGAGCAAGGTCTATAACAGTACTTTAATCCCTTGAGGAAAAACCCTATGGACTGTCACAGAAAATAAAAGCCAACAAATAGAAATCCAGCATCATTCCCCAGAGTTTCAGAAAACCATATCCCTGCCCTTTAAAATTCACTGAACAGGACAACCTGGAGAAAATCACATTAGCCTTGAAAGAGCAACAATTCTTCATCTGAGGTATTTTTACTGGTGTAATATTTCAGTGCCTCACACTTGTAATTATTGAAACTTCGTGTCTTTGAGGTACAAAAATCCTCTTACCTCCTTTCACAGATGAAAGAACTGAGAAAGAGTGCAGGGCTCTGGCTTAGGAGCAGGATGGGTCAGCAGCAGCACAGCACCCATACTCTCTACAGCTGCTCTCAGGGCTGAAACTTCTCCCCTGCAAGAAAGGTTTGTCTGTTCGTGGACCAGCCACCAAATCCCTGCTGGACAACACAGGCCACGTAGCTCTGCAGCTGCTACGAAAAACTGAGGCCTCTCTGAGCCCCTGTTCAGAGAGGAGAGGAATCAACAAGGTGGAGAAGAATGGCTAGGGATGCTCTCAGTCACTCCCTGAAGAACCCAGGGCAGGATGGAAACTGTGGCTGCATTTTACACAGTTATTTTCCTCACTTCCATGGCACCCTGTATCTCTCAAGATCACATTTCTATATGAATCTAGCAGTACTCATATTTTCCACCTGTACCATCACCCTTCATAATGACAGCTTCAGCTGGGGTCTTGATCATCCTAGAAAAAATGGCACTTACCTTTGTAGAGAAGAATGGTGCAAAACTGCTTGTATTGCTGTTGAAAACAATAAAATGACAAACAATAGAAGAATTAAATTATTATTTCTATCCATATATTCCAGATACAAAAACAGTGGCCTTTCTAGTTTCACATTTATTGTTTTTTTTGATGAAAGTTTGCAGGACTTTTTAAGAGATTAGAATAAGCCCTTGATATTATCCAGATCAACTTCCTATTGACAGCTAGCACTTAGCCAAGAAGGCCAAGCTTCACTAGGAAAACAGTACACATTTAATCTCAAAGTTCTACATATGGACCACAGGGGAAAACAAAAAAACAAAAAAAAACCCCAAAAAACCCATCCTCTGGTCTGCAGTCTTATGCTTCCTACAATGTCTGTGAGCTACAAACTGGAGCACAGCAAAAGGGTTTTGCTTTGCAAAGTTCTGTTACCCAGTACAGTGTAGGGAAAGTCAAATTATTCACAGCAGAGTAACACTTGGAGCAAAACAATGCAGTTCTACTGGTCAGGCTTATGACTTCAGAGGAGCCAAGTCCCTCTTCCCCCACTGCTATACCAAGCACTGCTCACAAAATGAGGCAGTCTCCCTGTGGTTTTGGTTCAGCCCCAGATATAACTCTGAACTCAGTTACACATCCAACCACATTTCAGGAGGCCAAAAATCACACCACTAGCCAGCAAAACTCCAAACCCTATTGCACATACCTATGATGTAACTAAAAGATTCTTAGTCAGGATGCCAGAAGCACATAAACATTGGCAGCACTGCTGTTTGCTGTTTGCAATCCATGGTGGCAAAAGGATTGCTGCTAGTTTACAAAACACAGCCGCTGACATGCTCCTCTTGGCTCCCTGCCAGCATGCTGTCCTGAGATCCCCTCTCACAGTCAGGCTTTTTTTGGACTTTGACACAATCAAACCGTGGTACAGACCTGTCCCCTGACAGTCCTCAGGTCCTTTGTTCCAGGTAATCAGACTGTCAGGGGTGGAAGGTGTGAGGCTGAGGTGGGATGTGAAGGAAGTCACATAAACCCTGAATCATGAAAGATGATGACAAAGAGGGAGGAGATAGGTCAGGTAGGAAAGATGCTTGTTGGGTACCATAGGAAAAAAGTTTGTATTTCACCCCGTGTTTAAAAGTGATTGTACTTAAAATTTGGAGGCCAAATCCTTCCCTTGAACATGCATCTCTGAGTAATTCTGAGCAGCTCAGAAAGGGAAGAGTTATCTTGACTTCAAGGTAATTAAAACCCCAACTTTTATAGCATCTGACTAATAGGATTGCAACCTTCCAGCAAGCCTGAAGGAGCTGTGGGCTTATCAGGAATGCCAGCTCTTATGTCATAATTAACTAATGACACACTATTCATACCCACCTGGAGATGAAAGTAAAAATTTGCACATGTAATATCTGCTTCTTCTTGTGTTTCCCTAATAGACTTAGAAAACAGAAACTTGTAACAGGGCCCGACCCTGCATTCATAGAAAATTCCTATGAATGCCAGTGTGATTGAGGGCATACAAAGAACACAAGCCTGGGAAATGTCTATGTGAGAATTTCACACTTTGAGTTCTAAAATAAAAAAGCTGCATTAAAGTATTACTGTGCTATAAGTGCAGGTGGTCCTGAAGGCTTTTAGAAATACCAAAATACTTGGTCTTCAATCTCATGGTAATCTCATTGTTGATTGTGTCTGTGGATGTGTTTAACCCTTAATACAGAGTTTTTCAAGCAATATTTACCTTCTTCCTTTACCTTCCCTGTTTGTAACGCCTGAAAACCTATGAATAGATAAACATTTTGAGAAAATGCATGTTGCAAATATTGTGTAAATAGCCATGCAGACAAGTTGGCAAAAGCATCCAGCCAAAAATGCAAATTACCTGCAGGACCTTGTGACAGGCAGGTGTAAATCCCTGCTGTTTCACTTCTGTGCACGGAACAGCCAAGGTTTGTATAAGAAGTTTTTACAAATTTGGACAGCAGCCTGAAAACTTTGCAGAGCAATAATTGATAACTAAAGAATCAGAGCCTTGAATTAAACATGAGTATGTTTGAATTCTGCAAAAACATAGGCACCTTGTTTTCCTGTGCAAGTGCATAAAGCTGTGCAGTCAAAAAAAGGGTGCTGCTACTTTCCTTATCCTTGCAGCTAATATTTTCTGTATAGTTAAGCCATGGCTGTAAATACAGATTTCATGTAGCCAGAAAGCCAAGACAAGGTTTGGTCAATTGTCCCCGAATTCTGAAGAAGTCTACTTAAGCTTTTCAGTAGCCCTTTGCTGTCAGATGAATCAGACAAATAATTTTTTGGTTAAATTAGAAAATGTGGTTCAACTATGCCAGCTTTGTTACATAGGTAATGAATTAGTCAGTTTGCAGTACATGTGCTTTAAGTGAGATTATTTGGAGAAGAACTTCTGATTTCTTTCAGAGGGAGTTTTAAGGTAATTTTCTCCTGTGGGGAGACTTTGCCCTGAATAGTTTGTCTTCCTCTTCATGGCCAAACACTGCTCTCTAGCTACTTCCCCATTCAAATTCTCCTAAATTCACTATTCACTGAATGTCTCTTTTTTTTTTTTTTTTTTTTTTTTTTTTTTTTTTTCCCAAGATCAACAGGGAAAAAAGCTCTCTCAGGCTTACTCATTTCTGAATCTGTCCTGCTCTTCATCACTGGTAAATGTGATAAACGTGAAACCATGTTCACCTATTTGTTCTCTGCAGTAAAAGCAGTCTGCAGTATGTCTGTCTCTTGTATTGTCAGCCCTTCAGGGTGGGGATGGCTTTCATTTGTATTATCCAGCACTGAACTCCTTGGCAGGACACTGAGCAAAAGAACTAAACAACAGGGGAAAACATTCATTACATCTAAAGAGAGGACATTAATTTCCTATGCTGTTTTTGAGTGCTGCTTCCATGTGAAGAATGTGGGGCCAGTCTCTTGTCTGGAATTCATTCCAAAAACATCCCGGTGATCTGCACCATCTGAGAATCTATCTGGAATTCTCAGATGGTGCAGGAATTGAGGGATCACTAATCTCCCTCTTTCCCTTTAAATTTCAAGAAAGAGAGTGAAGAAGAGTCTCTTGGGGTGACAGCCTGCACAACAGCCCAGGTACATGAGATGTGTCCCACCTTTGCTGGATCCCTGTGCAGATCAGATATAACAAGACAAACTATCCAGGAGTCAGGACTACCACTGAATCCGGGCTGGAGCTGCCTAAGGCAGGGCTGGACAGAGTCTCTCATGCCTGGGGCAGGTGGTGGCAGCCCCAGACCAGGCGGGAATGGTAACAAGAACTGGCCCAACCCCACTTGGAATTAGGGGTTCCAGATTCACCACTTCTTCCCAGCCAGGGAGAGTGTGAAAAGTGAGGCTTTCTTCACAGGATTTTTGGAAACTTTTCATGGAGAAATATTGGCATGCTCTAATGAGAGACAAGATTTGGGATGGGCTACAACAGTCAGAATTCTGGGGGAGTTTTGCCAGTCACACAGACTGGCCAGTGGGATTTAGAAGATATGCTGAGAAAGAAAAACATTCTCATTCATCACATTCCCTTGTGCAATTCCACATATTCAGAGACAGGAACAGACTGTTTTCCCACTGTGAAACCTGACTAGACCTTCCTGAAATTGTAGGCAAGGTCTGAGTGTAGCTGAATACTCTCCAGTTCTGGTGGAATCAGTGTGAGGTCTGGGGCTGCCATATTGTTTTGATGGAGAAACAGAAGGAAACAGTCTCAGAGAAGAAAAAAATAGAAAAATTGTTTTCAAGGGTACAGTTCAGAGTAAAAAACTTGAGCCTTGTGCTGGTCAATCAGTTCCCCCTAAGAGCTGACTGTCTGCAGAACCTGCAGCTCGTGTAAGGAGTGTGTGAATGGTGGGAGGGGAGAGGAGGGAGCTGGGATCTGACCAGGGTGCAGTTAGGATTGGTATTCCACAGCAATGCCCATAGCAAATAACTCAGTAACATTTATTATGTGTCCTTCACGGGGTAGGAGCAGTCAGAGAAGGTGAATGCATGAAAAACCAGGCTCGTTTGAACTTTGGCCTGGTTCCTCTCAGTGTTTGCTTGGTTTATACCAGGATAAAACCACTACAGAAATTTCGTGATAAACACATGAGTGAAGGGGTCAGTCTCATCCTTCACACACTCTTCCAGCCTGTGGTCAGTCTGTGATGGACAGTGACTCTGCAAGCATTTGGGTGCACTTAGATGCCTTCACTTACCTTCTGACTAAGCCAAGAGGTATCCCCACATCACAGATTTGTTTTCATCACAAAAACACAAGGAAATGAGCAACCATAACTCAATTATGCTCCAGAGTGAACTCAAGGCACTGCAGTGAACTCAGAGGAGGTAATTCAAAGGAAAATGGGGAAACTGCCAGAGATCTGGCTGGATAAACTTAAACAAAAGGATATCTGGCTTCTTTTAGACTAAACTGAAATAAATTTGCTTCTCAAAGCTAAGTTCCTAGGCTCAGCTCCTGTTCCCCATCACCCTATGAAAAGGCAGCACTGACAGATGAGCTTCCAGCAGCTGCAGTTCAAGGTGTGTTTATTTGGTGGCAGTACTGGATTAACAGATTTAGTCTCTTCTCCCCTTACCACTGATTC